GTCGAACGGCGTCTGCAGTTCCTAAGAAGAAATTGAGAGAAATCCAGGGCTAAGGATGCAAGGTTGACCACAAACCACGATGTAATTGGGAGGGTTTAATACCCCGCACAAAGCTGGCCGGCCAGCCACGGTTTAAGGCATAACTTCTTAAGGAAAGCTAGTGCATTGTGGCTTGTTCAGTGAAAGCTGGTTAAAATCAATCCCGGTTGGCACTGAAGCCCAGCTTGTCTTGCAAGGGAAACCCTTTTCCCCACCCTTAAATAAAGGAAGAAATTAATCTGAACCCGCTCCATTTGGCGTTTGTTCACACAACGTTCCTTAAAGGTAGGCCTGGGAATAAGCGTGGTCCACTTATTCCCTGTAGGGTTAAGCTCCAGGGGCTAGCTTGGTTTGGAGTATGTGTCTGGCCCCGAAATGATGGTTTGACGCCCACAGGACTGTACTTAACAATGCACTAGACCACAATGAGGTAGGGTTGTATAAGTAGCAAAAGTGAACGCAGCTAGTTATGCCAGTTAAATGCTTCTTGGAGAAATAGCATCAGAAGGCACATATAAAGAACGTGCATAATATTTGATTTAATAAATAAAATTTAGTGTGTTGGAAACTTAGTTAAGGGAATTCCCACCAACTGGAAGGCGCTCCGACCAATTGGAAAGTACTTTCCCCAACCCCAAGTCCCTCAGATCCTCCCGGGATTGGATTCCCCATAATCCCCTGCCGCATGTGTTGGTGGATGATGGGCCTTGGAACTCCATACCTGCTTCTGGTTGGGAAGCAGGGTAACGGGACCGCTGCTTCAGAAACGCTCTCGTTACGAGGATATTTTCATGTTGGGCCCTAAGTTTATACTTTGTTGCCGCTGAGTAAATACAACGAGGAAATGGGGTGAAAATAAGAATAAAACAGGAACCAGAAAGATTCGCTTCCCCCGCCCGCCCGCTTCACAATCTGCCGCTCCGGCTCGACGCGAACCACAAGCTTTTTTCCCCCCCTCCCTCCTACTTGCCATTGGGAAGAAGAGGCGGAGCTGCCCGGGCGAGAGAAGGCGAGGGAGAAATCTCCGCGTCGGCGCCGTCTCCCCGTTTCCCAGGATTCCCCTTTGGGCTTCTCCAACGTCGCCCGTGGGAGGGAGGTGAGTGGGTCCTTTTTTCCTGCGTGGGCCGAGAGCAAAAATGCAGATGGGGGGGGGG